AACCTGTTAACCTGCACCCCCAGTTTTGGGACCCACAGCTGAAAATGACCTACCTAACGTAAAATGGTAACAGTTCCTGACAACAGTGTGCTACACAGACAATTTTGGAGAAGAAGCTTTGGGCTTTACTATCCATCATCCAGAGTTGATAATGCTCAAAAAGATAAAAAGTTATAGACACTGAAGTGCCTTGAAAAAAAAAATACCACACTGAATGTTTTTTTTTTTCATATAAAAATACATGAAATACGTCCTGGAGCAATTCAGGTTACCCAAAGTAATGGGTTGAAAGTCACATGTCTCATGAGTAGGGCTGGGTATCGATTCAGATATCCCGATTCGATTCTCGATTTTTTTTTATTACATTCAGTGAATATAGTTTTAATACAAATGCTATTGATATTTCTAAAAAATTAACAGTAAACATCAGTTTACAAATAGTGAATTAATAAAAAGAAATTAAGAACCACGTGCCTGTATTTTAAACCTATTCTTTTTTTTTTGTATAGGGTACTTTTTAAACAATAGTAGGGCCCTATAAAATGTTCTTAATTTTTCTGGTAATCAGATGAAGGCATAAAACATTAATTTAATTTATAATGAAAATTAAACCCTTAAATTTTTTTGGCAAACAAAGTGCTGCACAACAGAGGTTTACTGTTAAAATTAAAAAGAAAACAGATGTGATTATTCCTTTAAAAATAAAGATTTATTAATATTTATTAGCAGTAGTAGCATTGAGTCTTCAGACTGCTAAATAGTAATATTCTGACAGATTAACGTTAAACTAAACTTTTATTTTGACGGGTTGCAGTGAAGAACTTGCAGTACAAACAGTAGTGAATAACTACAATCTCTAATCACGTTTATATAACCGCTAGCATATCTATCATGATAATATAGCCTATAACTCAACAACACAGCAGCAGCTAGCTCGAACAGCTAACGAAAAATGGGTCAGAAGCTCTGGGTAACATCCTTGGTCCCAAGGATGAGGCTACACCAAAGGAATCTTCAGTTAAAACACTACCATATTGCTCCCGATCGTGACAGGAGAAAGATCATAAAAAGGCCAATGTGCATTAGGAACATAGTCCAGGCCTGTTTTGTGCCTCCTCCCATCACCATCTACGAGTCCAATCATTCTGATGGCAAGAAAAGAAAAGCTACATCAAAGGGAAACTGCTGCACAAATTCGAAAGGATAATTAAGAATCGCTATAAAGGAACTGGCCAGGGAAATCAGCCAGGTTTTGCATATCTAACAGGCATAATCAGAGTGGATAAAAATACCACCAAGTCATTCTGTTTTGCCTCGGGTGCGCAGGTCAAAGGCATCCTTTCTTCTTTCCCAAGTCGATCCCCATTGAAGCTGGCCAAGAGACAAGGAACACACAGCCAAAGCCCACTGAACCGCAAGCTTCAGGGACAAACTGCTCTTCAACATTCCCAAAAAACTCAAGGATTATACTCACAGCCAGAAGTCATTAGATTCAGAAGCAGCTAACAAAAGCTGGAGCAGCGGAGGTGATGTCTTGAGTAAGATACAAGAAAAGTCCTTCTTTTTTCCCCCCTACATGCTATAAATCTGCCATAACAGGAGGATTTTCAAACCAAACCCCTTTAACAGCTAATACTGAGGAGAAGCAGCCACAGCCACAAAAATGAAAGGTTTATCGAGTGCGAAGCAATAATGCACATGGCTTAATTGGTTTGGCTCCGTCTGTTCAGACAAGCCTGGTTGGGAAACATTCCGAGTGGTTAGGAGGGACCTTTATGCCTCCAGAGATGCCATAAACGCACCTATAGGATTAGTGAGCAAAATATGCCTTTTAAAAAGACAAAGGCAAATACAAATATTTTTACTTTCAATTTCAGGGTATTGCTCAAGAAGACATATTTCAGGTACACAATCACCTTGAACATATGCCAGAGGTATCTATAGAACCGGAGTTAAAAAAAAAAAAAAAAAAAAACCCGGAATGTTCTTACTCAAGTTTCACTCGGATATCCTTCCTATAGAACGCAACTGTGCCCACCCACTTTTTCCTGCGCTGTTGGTTTAAGGAGTATTTTTCCCATAGATTTTTTAAAAAGATGTAAGCCATGAACCAAGCCAATTAGCTACGAGGTGAATCACAACATTACAAACTTTAATTTGAAGGAAAATTTTCAGTATCTGAAAATCAGTAAAGTCAAAGGTCATGACTGTGCATTTATCAGAAAGAACTGCAATCCCATGAAGCATTGCGAATGTCACAATTGAATTGATGGAGACGTATAGAACTATTGAGTTAAAGATGTTAATAATATAGAAACCATATGTTTTTACTTTTATTGCAAAAAATTACATATTACGCATACAAATATTATAGTAATTTGAGAACATAAGCAGACTGACTACATGATATGCAGTTCTTCATTGGAGTGGGAGTGGGCACGGTTTACTAAGCTAGATGAAATAATGTAGGCTGATGGCTTTAACAACCTCGCAACAACCTTGAAGCTCGAAGCAGGTCTGTCTTTACAGGTTATCGTTCAAAACCAATTGCACTATGAAAAGAATGAATGAGATTTTTACTTTCAGAACCTTATTGTTGCACTATTATTCTTGTGAACTGCTGTGACACATTTAGCCTACTAATCTGCATTTGTAGGTTGTAACCTGCAATTGCAGTTAGTCAATTAGCAGCCACTTTTATCCAAAAAGACTAACAAATTAGGAAAAACGCAAGCAATTTTTCACACTTAAAACAGTACTTCAAAAACTAGAGCAGACATATGTGGAAAGGTAAAGAAAGGTTTTTTTTTTACGTTTACATAAGGTAACCATTTAATAACTTACAGATAATTGTTTTACATGTGAACTCTCAGCTGTAAGCCAAAAACAAAAACACATTCACGGCAAAAAAAATCATTATGGCACATTAACAACTTTTGAAAGTGAAACTATAAAAATGATTCTCATTCTTGCACAACACTCACACTTTACTTTCCCTGTATGCCAATAAAAGTTTTATCTTATAGACACAGCACTGTTCGTGGACAGTCACACATATTATATGATACGTGGAAGTTAAAGGGACATTTCACACAAAAATGACAGGCAGAAGGTTAGGAACACTAACCCTTTCATTTTCATTTTGGGTGAACTAAAACTAGGCCACCTGTGACAAAGTCATTCCCTTAAACACGTTATAAATTGAATACATTAATTGTGGCTTTTGACGATCAAGTTACTAAGCTACTTAAATGCAGTTTCACTTTAAATAAATCATTACCACCTTGTCAAATAAACCAGTAACAGCTCAAATAACTCTGGCTGTTTCAAAACCTAGTGAGTTGGCAACATAACTGGCAACATCAAACGAATTTATAATGTACAAAAGCTATCTAGGTAACTTAGGCGGCTCACTACTTTTATGACACAGCCAATGACTTAACGTTACACTTTCGATAGTTAAATACCTTAACGTAATAAGTTAATGTAAGGTACTTTTGCCTCGCGTCTCCGGTTGTAATCAAAAGTTTTACTTGTCTAAACACAAATAGGAGGGTGGGAAGTGGCCCACTTGCTTGTGATTGAGGGGAATGTGGAGGTTGGCAGCTAACACTGACTGCATCGGAGTCAGTATAAAAAACACGTAAGCTACGTTGAAGAGCTAAAGAGCGGTGTAAAATGGTAACGTTAAGGTCATATCATGACAGTTTCGCTCGGAGAGGTAACGTTAATTTGCCCAGCGCTGCATGCGAACTCCCCCTCGTTACATTTGCTGCCAGGCTAGCTCGCACCAAAGCTGTCACGGAATGCTAACAAGTTAGCCGGTTAGCGACATGTATTTAGAAGCGTCCGGTATAACCGCGTCAAATACAACAACCATAACGTCTGAGCGAACATAAAGCGCGAATTAAAAATATCACGCCTCACCTTCTCTGATCAAACGTCGCCCATTCCTCTGCACAGCGACTCGCTTTAGCTCCAGCCTGCCTCCTCCTTTCCCAGCTGTGCTCCTCGGCCGTTGCTATTTTTCCAGCTCTCTGCCCAACCGGAAGTGGACGCGTGCTGTCTCTAGGGGAAATCGCTCGGTAGATGCTATAGAGATCAGCGGTAGGGCTCGCCCCCTTCCCTTCGACTTTTCGCTACAAGGGTCAGGCAGTGTATGTTTAAGGATGTCAGCTTTGTTGCAGTAATTTCAGTGAAGAGTAACGTTATCCAGAATTCACTTCCGTGAATACCTACTAAACCAGATTTTGAGGCCGGTTTATAAATCATTAAAGAACCATAAAGTCTACTTACTAGTACAGAACTCTTCTTAAAAAAATAATAATTAAAATAAATAATTATAAATAATAATTATAATAGTTATTATTTATTATTTGAATGAGGGGCCTATATATAATAAAAGAAAAAATAATAATTTTAATGATAATATACATTATCGTTTATTCTAATTATTTATTATAATATAAATATTGTTCATTTTTTATTTTATAAATATAATAATTATGAACTTATAAAAGAACAACAATAAAACAAATAATAATAATAATAATAGTAATAACAATAATAATAATAATAATAATAATAGAATTAAATACTATGCATTATGGACTAGAAGAGAAATAGCTTTATTGATATTTTATACAATATTTTAACATGAGCAAACAATTTGAAAATTTAAAAAAATATGTATTCATTTATTTATTTATTTATCATTGCCTTTTAGAGAAAATGTAAAACAATGTAACATATTAATTCAATACTGTATTTTAGATCAAACACATAATAGCATGGGGGAGAAGAATTGACCTGCTTAACCTACTTCTTGAATTTTAAGAAGTCTAAACTCGTATTTAAACATATAAAGTGTTATCATCAAACTTGGAATGAGGTCATAATAACCCATGTGCATCCTTCAGCTGGCCAGTTTCGAGTTGTTTTACTACATCTAACAGCAGAGGGAGCCATAGGCTAAATTAACAAGTAGCCTAGTCTAAAAGAGTAGACGTCTGTTCACATTGTTCAGTAAACATCAACCGTGATAAAGGCTACTCTATATAGGCATAAATGATTATGTTATATAATCATCTCTATAATATGATGTAGAACAATGACACAAATAACGTATTACATAGGTTACAGAATTTACTATATTTCAATATGCTGTTCTGCAGCACTGTATCATCTAAATTTATGTCAGGCGACAAGAGTCAAGACGTTGTTTCAGCTGGATGCAAAGAAGAACCTTTGCTAAGTTTTTACAACCAAGTTTTTATTCTCAAGTTCTCTGTACTGAAGCCAGAAAACAAATACATTGATAGCCTATATATAAGAATATGTGATGTTACCTTTTTCGGTCATAGAGCCAACTCAAAAGCTCTGCAATGAAAAAAAAAGAAATTATACTAATTTTTTTAAGGTAAGTGGTTGCAAACAATTTATTTTAGCTACATAAAAAAATAAATCATTGCAACTGCTTACCTTAAAAAAAATTTGTAAATTCAACTAATCCTTTTTTCAGTGTGCACAGCATAATGGTTCTTTGCTGAACCCAAGGTGAAAGGACTGCTGAAGAACCTTTATTTTTAAGAGTTAATCTGGTACAACCCTCTTTTACAATAATTTACTACTAACAATAACATCACATATGACCATTCCATAGAAAACAACAACAACAACTTTTATCCATTTGCTAAACTTTATAATTTCATAGTTATGTCATGCTTCAAATCCTTTGATTCATTTACATCATTCATTTACATAGTCTCAAGGGCTACATTTAGAAGGATATATTTGGAAATGAACCAATGTATGCAAAGAGGTCTGTTTGAAATTCCACAGATGTGTTCATTTATGTGTTTATTTGCTGGAAGTAAATATTTAAACTACAAATACAGGATGCCTTTGAGCACATTTGGTGCATTCTATAATCATATCAAGTTTACAGATTGAATATTGGACTGAATTACTGCCATTTACAGTTTGTCCTGAAATATTTGATATTTTACACATATCCAAACATTATTTACCTGTTTAAATATTTACATTTGCCATTTCACTCACATGATCATACTGCAACCAATCACATGCCTTATTTGGCCTTTTCTGTTGCTTCAAAAAATTGTAGTTTTTGCACTAAATATACAGGCCGACATAAATCATTTTGGCCCCCAGATGTCTAAAAATTACTGGTGGCAATTTCAACAAAAATATACTATAGGCCTAGTTATTTTAACTAAACAGATTCAGTAAAGTCTCTAAAACAGCACCATTGTTCCTCCCACTGCAGCATAATGCGGTATTATGTTTTTATTTTTTGCCCTTTTTTCTACTTCAGCCGAGAAAGAATGTTATCCACAATGAGCCTTTTTCATCATCTTATTTGAGAGACAGCTTGGCCTCAGAAATGAATATCTGACCTAATCTGAGTGCAGGTGGGTGACCGGTGTAAGGAGCAAAATCGCTTTGTCATCGCACGTGCTCTTGAGCGTGGCCCATGTTAAACAAGTCTCCCTTCTATTCTCTAACAGTAAGATAATTCGCCCATTTTTTCTCTCTTGCTCTCTCTTAAATAACCACACACACACTCACATACACATATACACACAAACACAAAAAATACATAGCCACAGGTATGGGGTGATTAGAAATGGTTTTGTTGACCCCAAGGGGTGATGGTGATATTGATAACATTTTCAAACAGTCTCGCTCATCAAAAGGTTTCCTGTTGAAGTTGTAATCTTCCTTGAAATAGGGTTTTGTTAGCCACTGCGCCATTCACTTGACCGAGAATTCCTCGGCAGTAAGCTAATGGGGATGATTTTGAGCGGGGTCGGCGTTGGGGATCAGAGCTGGGGACCCGATCGGGGTGGCCCTGGAGCTCAGAGGTGCCTTGCAGCGATTTGTAGTCCAGGTGACTTTGCAAATTCCCCTCCTGCTTAAGACAGGCCTAGCTGGATGATCATTTTCTAGACTTTCCCAAGTCTGCATATCAGGGATCAAAAACAGCAAATTAAGTATGTGATTAAAATGCCTAGTCGACCTTATTTGAAGTTTGGAGGCTCTGAATGAAAGTAATAATTATTCAGTAAGGATAACATAAGGATCACATGCAGTAAAAGGTGTCCTTTTGAACTATCTTTTGTAAATGTATCACAGTTTACACAAAAAAATATTAAGCAGCACACACAATTTTTTTTTTTTTTTTTAAGTTGTAAGCATGTGATTAAAATGCCTAGTCGACCTTATTTGACTCGAAAAACACTATTGTTTAAAAGTTTGGAGGCTTTGAACGAAAGTAATTTTATTCAGTAAGGATACATTATATTAATCAAAAGTGACAGTAAAGACATTTCTAATGTTACAAAAGATTTCTACTTCACATAAAAGGTGTTCTTTTGAACTATCTATTGTAAATGTATTACAGTTTACACAAAAAATATTAAACAGCTAAGTGAAAATTGCTAGTAAATTTCTTTATTTTCATTGCAACTTTTTTCAACATTGTGAATAAAAAGAAATATTTCTTGAGCAGCAAATCAGCATATTAGAATGATTTCTGAAGGATCATGAGACACTGAAGACTGGAGTAATGATGCTGAAAATTCAGCTTTGCGACCACAGGAATAAATGACATTTTAAAATATATTAAAACAGAAAAGTATTATTTTAAATAGTAATACTATTTCAGATTTTTTTTTTCATTTTACAGTACTTTTGATCAAATGAACGCAGCCTTGGTGAACATAAGAGACTTTTGAATGGTAGTATACAACTGTATTTATTTTCACTGTATCAGTCAATAAATCAACCAAGAGATGGATGTTGGTCATTACTAATATGATTTATACATCAAAAATCTATACTTTGCTCCTTCAAAACACACACACAAAAAAACGATTTTATACGTAACCGTGCCAATGATAGATCAAAAAGTCTCGTGCTGATTGATGGTCTGCCGTTGATAGCTGCTGATAGAGATCAGAGTACCTCAGGTTTACAGGTGCACTGCATTCTTGGCCAGCCAGCGCTGTGTCACAGGTGAATGTCACTGCAGGGTGTTAACTGAAATTTAGATTTCTTCAAAAGCCAAGCTTGACCCTCAGATAAAGATATTATAAAGGAATTCAGACATTTTCTAAAACAAATTAAGACATTGGTTTGTGTTATACTATCAACATTTTAGTAACACACTATGTTCAAAGCTGGAAAGTGAGTTGAAATAGTAAAGCTGTTTTTCCTATAGGCTACTAACTTACATGAATTGGCCATTGTTTTTTTGTATGTGCTCCAGGAGTCCAGAAATACCTTGCCTGTCAGCACCGGGACAGAACAATAGCCTCCCAGTCCTGTAAAACCCAGGATCACTGAGGGAGAACATACTTTCCAATAGCAGGTGTTTGAGTCTGTCAGTACCTGCTCCTCACCACGACTGCCGGTGAAAGGCTCGGGTTGTCCAGGTGTGCATGTGCATGTGTGTGTGTGCGTGTGTGTGTGTGTGTGTGCAGGACTTATTCCTCTAAGGTTACTATTTGGCAAAGCTGGGGATTGAAACATACTATATGGTGATCAGATTGTTGAGCATGTTCATATCTCACGTGTTTTGTCAGTGTAATTCACACAAAATGTTTTCACATCCTTTGTGCTTAGGGTTGCTGAATGCATTTTTGTTATTTAAAAAAGCAAAACATATCTGTTTTTCAAATCAATTTCTCAGAGTGTTTTTGTGCTAAAAAGAACAGTGTTTATTTAGCTGGAAAACTCTATTTTCTTCATTTCAAACTTCCTCCCTGGACACATTTCAGTGTGTTCATAAAGCCGCTACAATCCCACAAACCAACATCCTCAGTCACTTGCGAGCCACGGTGTTTTTATTAATATGAGCAAAAGACTAATTATTTGGAGTTAGTATTTTATTAAGTCTGTGAGAAGCCTTAAAAGTTTAGAACTGACTTAATGATCACTAAAAGTATGATTTAAGAGTTTATGATGTAATCCTGAAACATTAATTTCATATCACACTTAGTCCTTAGAAGCAAATTATATTCTCAGGCAGTTAT